TTTGGTCCGACAGGAGATTGATGAGCTCTGCCTGATGCCTGTCACATGCTTCAATCGATGGGTTTTGTGTATGGCCTGTCTGGAGCTACACAGTCAAAATGGTCTTCTAGGAAATATCCACAAGAAACCCTAGTAATAAATATGAATGGCTTAGAAACAAAGTCTTTAAATTTAACTGATGAGCTTAGAAATGGGATTTAAATTAAGATTTAAGTTCAAAGTATTTTCTTTTCTTTCAGTGCACTTGTTATCCCGTTTCTCTTTTTACAGGCCCAAGTACGAGAGTGGAGATCGAAAGAGTCACCGCCGCCTGACAGCAGTGCAAACAAATTGTGGCGACAGAGGGTTTGGTGCTCGAGCTGGGCGTGGAGGTGGAAGGGAAAGTTATTCCATTCTTTCGGATTCGATAGGCAGCCCCGGCGTTACGAGGTTTACATTTCGAGTGTCCGTGTATGGGGATGTGAGTGAATTGATTGATGGCTCTGCCAATGCCGGCTGACGTCCAACGAGTCGTCGAAGCTTTCTGGGCTTACTTCAATTTACTGTGTGCCGAGGGCTAAAGTGGAGAAAAATAGTACAGACCGGGCTTGAACTCATGCAAAAATTAAATAAAACTCATCTGCCATAAATCTTAATCTGAGCTATCTATAACCAGGGCTAAGAATCTTTTCACCTTGATGATTTCATTAGAGGCTCTCTCCAATTAGTGCCATGCCGCATCAGCCCCCACGAAGGGCTCTGGGCAATAAATAATTTGTTAGTTCAAAGGAAACCACAATTAACCAGGAAATATTGAAGGCCACACCTCCGTGGAACACTTTCCCCTCTTTTGAGGCCTGTACAGCCCTGTCCCTGCTGCACACACTATCTTAACAAAATGGCAATCAATTTCTCGCGCTGTAAATTAACAATCATTGCAGGGTGAGAGATGCAAGAAGGGAAGTGCCACAGGGGGAGTACGGCAGCTGCTAACTGCCACAGAGGGGGACTTCCCCTGCAGCACCCACTAACCCAACCATGGCCCGCAATCAACGTACATTAATATGCACGAAAACAATAAACAATCCAAGGGGAGGCGAAGGATGAAGGAGCTGCCTGAATGGGGCGACTTCCAGGGGCGTAGGGCACCACTGAGGTGTGGGGGGGGTGACCTGTAGGCAGAGGCGTTACAGCGGCAATCATGCAAAAAGCAAGCAAACGCCGCCATTATGGCCATCTCGCTTCCACTCGCCCCGTCCCTCTTCCACGCGCGACCAGCCCAACTCAACTGACAATATTTATTGCAAATGCAGCAATAAATTTCAAAACACCATTCGCTAAGCACCACATGGGGTCTCGAAAATTGAAGATAAATTTTAAGGCGGCAATTTATGATTTGTGAGCATAAGCCAGAGTCGGCGGTGTTGGGCGATGAGGGGTGCTGCCAGGAGCGGAGGGGGTGATCATCGGCCTGGCCAAAAACGTACACAGACACCCTGGTAGAATCGGCTAAGGCCGTTGCTGACAAGTGTGGAGTGTTTGCCGCCGCACTCCTTTACTCACGACTCCATCGACCCCTCATCTTTTTGGCCTCTATCCCCATCCTTAGCCCCACTCCCTTGGAGCTGCCTCCCACTACCTAGCCGCTTTTCAATTGTGTTTGCCGCGATTTTATGACTGCCTGCTGTGCCTTTGAGAGCAGCCCGAACCAATCCGAGGAAACCCTTTAATACACTGAGAGAAGTTTCTTCTAATTTATGATCAGTGATCTTCACTTATAAAAAAGTATGTAAAAGGCCTTAAAATATAAGGTTATTATTTCAAAAACATTTACCAAAAACTTAGATACCTTTTTGTTAATACAATTTAAAATTAAAATCCTTTTTTTAGAGTGTTTCTGAGCCTCATATTCTTGGCCTCTGTCCCGCAGATTTTTAAAAAGGGAATTGGATTTCTTTAAAACGGAACGAAACTCTAGAAGCGGAAGGGACTATAACTCCCTGGGGGCCCGTAACTGGCATTTGAAAAATTACTTTTTCCAAAGATAGTTAAAATATTTTTCAACGAATTGTCAATCATTAAAGTGATTCCAAATAGTAATAGTCTTTCAATAAACACTACATATTCATAAAAATAAAATTTATCGCTCAGAAGGCTATAATGCCTACTCACTTGGATCTCACAGACTAATTTTAATAAAAATAAAATCTCCATAATTTCCTTATAATAAACATTACTCCCTATTATTTTAAAGAATTTTATTCTTTAATAATCTCTTTTATTTTATAGATTTATTTCTAAATTAAGTTTAAAACAAATCCCAAATATATTGTAGTCACTGTGCGGCTTGCAGCAGGGACTAGTCGAGCTCTCCTTACAACACCTTAGTGCAATTATTCATTCACTTGCTAACCGGAGCGGGGAGAAGGAGTCTCGGTGGTTACCAAACCGCCAGACAAAATCTTCTCCTGGCCAACAACAACAAGGAGAGCAGCCACAACGGCAAGATGCAAACAACAATCCGGTCCAAGTCGAAAATAAGAAAAAGGTTTATGAATGCGCACATGAAAAATGGAACATCGTTAAGAGCAATTCATAATGAAATACGCTGCAAGTTGGCATTTTTGGAGGAAAGGAGAGAAGTGGGCAAGGGCGGTGTGGAGCTTGCCTCCACTTGGACTGGCAACTGCAATAAGCTGAGCCCAGGCGGTCGCAAGCACTTCTTTTTTTTTACAGATCTTTATTTATTTATTTTTTTCGCTGGAAGCAGCGTAAAAATTATGACCATAAGCAGGATATTGGGTTAAGGTTTTATTTTTCTTGCCTTCTTGTGTGTTGCCAGTTGCCGGTTGCCAATAAACTTTGTTGCCGCCGCAGCTGATTTCTTCTGTTTCCTTGGCTGTCGAAATGAAGCTGTTGCAGTGCCAGACGAAAGCGGTATTTCAATCAAATCTGAAAAAAATAAGAGAATTCTACGGCACACAGCACAGCTCTCATATGTAGGTATGCGTGTATTTGGATGGGCCACCTTATCAATAATTTCGTTTTCATATGCACATCGCCAGAAAGATACAGATGAGGCCATAAATATGAAGCCCGGCTGGAGTGGCTAGGGAAATTTATAGAGTCTGTTGCTCGTGCTGTCAGGTGAAATAAATAATAAATTCGTTATATTCGAGGCTCGGCGGATAGCCGGCAACGACCACATCGGCGGTGGCTATCAACAACAGAACAACGACAATAACTCCAGGGGCGTACGATGGGGACACGCCCACATTCAACAACACCGACGACGACGACGAACTTCGTGCTCTCTGCACAGCTGCAAATCGGACTTGGACATCGTGGGGGCCCGTTGGGGAAACAAATTTGAATTCAATGAAAGATGAAATCATTAAGTTTGCAGGCAATTGAAGGCGGCTGCGAATGCGGTTGGCTTTAATCGTGCCCGGTACCTGGGTCACACAATGGGACTGGGATTGCATCGGACTGGGCTGGGCTTGGCTGCAGGAGGCGATGAGATTGGTTCGACTGTTATGACATCGGCCAGACATTCCCCAAAAAATATTCCAAGGAAGGAGAACGAAGAAACAAGAACTTAATTAGTTTTCAACATGGATTCAATATTTTAAGATGGTTTTCAGTTTGGATTATGTTTTTTAATACAATATAGTTTCTAAAATAGTTTCCTCAAGTAACCTTAACAAAAATAAGATAATAAAAAGTATTATTTTACCAAAATCATCTGTTAATGGTGAGGAACCATATTTCAATAAAAAGTGTTGCCTACTTAATGGGATGTTTTGGGTAATTTATTATTTAATGATTTTAACGACTTCCGCACAATATTCATAGCAATAAAAAACCACTAATAAAGATATTTTTGATCAAAGACTATTACCCAAAAAAAATCGAAATATTATTGTAGGAAAAAAAGGGCTGCCAAGCTCCTGGGAACTGTCGCCCCTTCGTGACCAAAGTAAAAATACGGTGGCTAATGAGAGGCATAATCAACTTCCCATATTGCATACACAATTGATGCCAATGCCCAGGCCAGGCCTAATAAATATCAACAGCCACACAAATTTGCCTTTTGGCCAAATGGCGACTCCGGAGAAACGAACTAAAATTAAGAAAAACCGAAGAAAAAAAAATCGAAGCCGTGAGCCCTGAGAGCCGACAACAAAAGCGCACATAAATCAACGATCAAGACAATTGCGGTGTAATAATTTTAACTTCTTTAAGTCGGCAGCCAGCCCACACCGCACACCACAAAGCACCACCGTGCACCACCGTGCACCACCGGGCACCACCAACTTCTTTCCACACTCCAAGTCGGCTCCAAGTCGATCCGATTCGGCGGGGGCCCATAAAAATAACAGCTTATCGGTAAGAAGAATCGTGTCGTGCCACGCCCACCAACTCAAAAAGGCATTAAAATATGAAAACAACAATTGCAGGCTGGCGGCTCAGGGGGTGGGGCAGGCAACCAACCACTCACCTCCAGGTGAAATCAACAGCAGTCTGGGAGTCACAGAGTGGCCGACACGCCCCCTTTTCTTCATTGTAGGCGTCGGCCGTTGGCAGCGGCACGTTTTTCTTCGTGAAATTCCAAACTAACCCGGCCCCACCCCCACCCAGCATCCCGAGGCCGGCCAAGTAAGAGGCTAAACCAAAGATATATAGCTATATCGGCCCACCGACCAGTCCCGCTGGATGGCCATTGTTCGACCGCTGGCTGATGAAAGTTGGGGGAGAGATTGGCCGGTGGCTGGGGGTCGGAGAGCCAGGTGGGGGCGGGCAGTTACAACTTAGTTAGTCGAGAAGCAATTGCAGGCGATATCTCAATTTGGAGCTCATAAAAGTTACAAGTAATAGGACGATAATTGGGTATTTCGAACAGGGGATACTCTACAATATTTCCTCAAGTTAGACCATTATTCTTAGAAATTATAAAGGTTTAAGCCTAAGTTTGGGTAATATTTTAGGTATCCAGGAAGTAAACGTGGACGGTAATGTCAAATCAGCAGTTAGAGTTTATCTTTAAGCACTTCCATACCACAATAGAGCCGACTATCCTGACACATAACCCAAGCCATAGCCCAAAAAATAAACAAAAACACAAATTCCCCACATATTCTGGCCCTCAGATGTTATAGCTTTCGTAAAGCTTTGGGGGGCAAAATTATCAATCAACAGCGATAGGTGCAGCCGGAACTATGGCATCCACCAAACAGCCCACTCCCCGACAACTGGCGTATCTTGACGAGCTAAAGACCCGGCTCCGGGAGCTACGCATGCGGCAGGTCACCTTTATGGAGCAGACCGCCCAAATACTTAGCCAGATGAGCTCCGCCACTATGGAGGAGGCACAGGCCGCGGCGGCAGCAGCGGCCTCAGTGGCTGCCAAGTCCTCGAGCCTCAGTTTCAAGTCGAGTGACACCACATCGTCGGTGGCTGGGGCAGGATCTGGAGGCAGGTTGAACATCAAACAGCTAATACAGCGCTTCGAGGATCTTCGCAAGAACTCCCAGGTAGGCTTTAAAGGAAATCCTCCTCGGGCGGTGGTAGCTTGTCATATGTTTTAAGAAATCATTTTAAAAAATGCATAGTTTACTTTTAAGAATATAAAACCCTGCCACAGGAACTCGACCTGCCCGAGGTCCCCGAAGAGCTGATCAAAGTGGATGTGCGCCGCATCCTGAAGGGCTACGAAAAACTCATCGAAAACGGCAACGTGCTCCAGCAGTCCTGGATCCTGCTGAAAAAGACCACAGAGAGCTGTGCCCGTATAGCCGATGCCAAAGCAAAAGCTAAAACAATAGCTCCTACCGAGGATGCTCCTCCTGTAAAGATGGCCACCGTCACGGGGTCCATCGATGTAGTCACGGTTTCCACGGTGCCACCACCGGAACCCAGTCCACAGATAGTAAGAATCAATAGCAGCAAGTCCCTGGGATCTAGTACAGAGATTGTGATCAAGGAGCTGGAGGTGTTTGGACCGGAGGAGATCTCTCCAGAACCGGATATCAAGTACCAGTACAAAGCCCAGGACTATGGTAAGTGGATGAGACACAAGCTGCAGAGCAGTTTCGTGTAGCCTAAACCGAAGCCATTTCCCGTTCCAGGACGAGCCCGTTGGGGAGCCCTGATGCAGTTGATCCTGCGCTTACCCAACCTCTTTCGGCACTGCAAAAAGATCAAGAAGGTTATACCCAGGGCCTGCTCGGAGGGCTGCCACCTGCCCCAGAAAATGCCCACACACTAGGCCGCTGCCAATAGCCACCGTCACACATATCATACCACGCACTCACTAAATCCAACAAGAAGCCACACCAATCCCCAGAAATCCCCCTTAAAATAATCCAATAAAGGCCCCCACACCCACGAAAAAAACGAAACGAAGGCGCATTAATCAATAGCCAACACCACACATCAGCGTGTCAATATTTTGCCTAATTAATGTGGCCCGGCTCGGTCGCAGTTGCGCATCAATTTCGGGCGTCAAGTGCAATGAGGGGGAACAGGCCGATCGCTCCGTGGGTCCCCCCGGGGCGTAGCTGCTGGGGTGGGGGCGAGGCGCTGTAGTCGGGACCACCATCAGCTAATGTGGCCATAGGCAGTGCCTCGGGGCAGGGGCGACGTATGGCAGCAACTGCTGCGCTGACAGCGCATTTTAGTCGCCCATGGAATACCGAAAATAAATCTTTTCATGTCATGACACACAGAGCGGATAGATCACTGAGAGAAAATAGACCTAGAAGCTTGAACTTTATGATTTTATCATTCTGTTATATATTTTGTAGAAATACATTTTACTTTCAGTGTAAAGAAAGAGTGCTACTTGGCTTGAGGAGGATGGGGTGGCAGCACAGAAAGCAACGAAGACAAAATACTTTGCCCCACACAACACACGCATAGCGAGAAGTAAACATTTAAATTTAAATTAAGTGGCTTGTTCGGCATCTCCGAATGCACCAGCTAATGAGCGGAGGCCCCACTCCATGTGGGCAGAGATTGGGGGAAATCTTGATTGGGGAAGGAAGGGGAAGCATCTCAGCAGGAAGCTTTCATGTTCGTGTTATCAAAGAAATTGATATATTTACTTAAGTGCGTGTCCACATGCCAGTTTGTGGTGGGAAGAGAATCTAATAAGGCTATCCGAGATTGATTTTAATTAATTTTTATGAAAAGTTAGAAAAACAAGTTGTTAAATATATAAATGTTATAGAGATAGAGCCGAAATATTGTCGATAATTTAATGTAATGCATACGAGCTCGCCAAACTGGTCGCAGATCCCGCCAGCGATCAACTAACATCCTGCTGAATAAATCAACCTGTATACATTTATAAATAGCTAATTCATTATAATTAAAATTACATGCATTTAAATCAGAAATAACAAGTCTAAACTGGAAGGTTAACACGAATTCAAGCCACACCTTGGCTGGCCATAATAAGAAATCATGTTTGGCAATGATTTGTGGCATCGATGCCGGCTCGCAACGGAGTGGATATATCCGTAGGATTGGCGTACTCTGCAGACGGGGGGGCAGGTGGCTTATCTACGGAGCTGACACGAGTGGCGATGACGATGGCGATGGCGATGCTAATCAGCAACCAGCCGCCGCATGCAACCAGCTGGAGATAGCGACGGCAAACGATGCCGCAACATGTGTCCACAGATCAGCGAGGGGCAATAAACGAGTTGCAAACTGGCACTCCGTTGGCGCTTAAATCGCTTTGACCTGCAACAATATTTGCCGTTTGCAGGTGCCGAGGAGCGAGGCAGACCCAGCGAATATGGCAGGCTCGTTCACATTGTTCAAACATACTCGAACTATTGTTGAGCGTGGAAGTCGAGGGTTGCCTAATGCTTTGACCCCAGCAATTATTTTGGTAAATAAGGTCGATCTTGATTGTCGAGAACATAAATCAAAACCTCTAGAGTCTAGACTAAGTGGGTTAAGCCATTGTTGCTAAAGAATTGCAAAAAACGTTTATAATTAGTCTACATATGTGACTTTATAAATATTTCTATATTAAAGTTAAGATTAACCTGCGACCTCTCACATTTCCGTACTAGCTCACCTTGACTTTTAAACAGAAAAACAATCAGTATCCATGAGCATGGGTACACATATCACCTGGCTATCGAAGAATAAACATCCGAATGTCGACGCCTAGTCAAATATCGAACTTCTCAGATTGTTGAATCTAGTTCCGCGGAATGCCCAACAGTTGTAATCTGACATAACAAATAGTTCTGGGAATTCGTCATCGCACATTCCTCAGGGGCGGAAACCCGACAAGCACACGCCCCCACATGGATATATGTATCTGCGGTGCCCACGCCTATGTGGTAGGTGGTGGGGGGGTGAGAGAAACAGTGTTCACTTTGATGTTGCACCGACGCACGTTGGCAGACGTCTGTTCACCTAATTATCACACTATTTGAGGCATCGTAAAAGCGAGACGGCCAAAGGTAATGAGGGGGTGTGTAGGTGGATGGTGTGGTTGGTTAGCAGTTGGGGGCCGTGGGGCACGTTGGATGCCAAATTCGAGTAAAATTCATCGCAAGCTGTACGGTGGTTTCATTTCGTTGCATTTGTCGTGCATATGGGGCGCATCATAAACCCATAAAAGTGTGAAAGGAAGGCGGCGAGATCAAAGTCCCATTGGAAATAAAACTCTGCGAAATTAAAGGGAATAGTGTTGAGATATCTTATTTACCTTTTAACGTCGTTTTCTCAGGGGACCATAAAGGGAAATGTTTATTTTATGATTAATTTACAAAGTTTTCCATATACTTTTGAGATGCGGAAAGTTTTTGTCTAAAATATGGCTAAGATTTAGTTTTTAATATAAATATTCCATCTAGTAGTAAGTACTTAACCCAATTCCATTTTATTTCGACTTAATTCCACAATGCATTTATCATGTTTCGTTCATAGTGACTTTCATTTTGGAATCCATTAATTTCAGTGTAGCAAGCAAATTAGCAGCAATTTACATCCGGCCCGTGGGCAGAAGGGAAATTCGCCAGAGGGGGTGAGTAGGAAGTGAATTAGTAGACCTCGGTCCGTCGGGAAATGGAAAATCCCGACCACCGCCAGCTGCACTTGCACATGCAAACTAATAAATTTCATTGATGTGTCTATTTTGGTTGCCCCCGCCTCGGCATCGGCTTTGGCCTCGGCCATAGAGCGATCTAAAGAGCCTCGAAGTGCCTGCAACGGAAGCAATTTGTAGCTACAAGCTGTAATTTCTACCTCCCACCCCCCGTCCCAGAGCCAACGCCTCTTCTGACATTCCTCGACCAAATAAAAAAGACGTCGATAATTCTTAAGCAACGGCGCGAAAATCGGGCAAATTTTCGCTGTCAGTGGTCGGAACCTAATGGCCGGGGCCTTAGCCCGGGCGGGGAAATAGATGAGAGGCGGGATGTGGGTTGGGACGTGTAGCACCAGACCTCGTTGGCTTTGGGAAAGCAATTGCTGCACATTTTATTTAACCCTTTTTATGGCCTCATTATGGCCGGGAGGGCGGAGTGAAAGAGCCACGAGTGCAGACAAAATATATATCTTTTCGCCAGAATTTGGGGTAGACGTTCAGTTCGGAGGAGTCGTTGCGGGTGCGAAATGTCTGGCGGAAATGAGGCTAGGAATCAAGCAAATAAATGTTTTATAAAATGTTTCCAGCACACAAAGTAACAGTGAGCAGAACGGCACAAAAGCCGTACCCCAACAATCCTCGAGCCATTAAAATGAAATTTATCGTTCACAATGTTTTATGGTTTTCGAAATATCGTGCAAAATGGAGTTACTCGGTAATTTGGACGGAAAATTAATGTTGCCAAGCCATGGGTTCATATAAAATGTTACTTTGTCTCTTAATATTTCCCTTAGCCTGCAGGCCTATGATGGATGGTAGAGGAACTCACAGAAATGTACAAGAATTAAAAGCAAACCTTTTAAAATTAAATACAAGGTTGTCACATTGGTAAAAGGAGTTTTGAGTAAGAGTTCAATATCTTTCGAAACTGAATAAAAACATTTATCAATTCTAATCAAATTGTTTTCCTTTAGAGAGGACCCCAAAACTTCTGTAAATCTCTTCGACTGCAATTCATATTCCCCGCAGAGAGGTTACCACCCGTCTGAGCCCGGCCAACGAGGGGTGGCGAGGGAAATTAATAGCGGCTAAAGCTTTCAACTTGGCCAGAGGGAAGCGTTGCAGCAGAAACAGCAACAGCATCACCAGGACCAGGAGCAGGAGCCAGAGCCAGTGCTAGAGCCCCAGAGCCGGAGCAGCGGCCTCACTTACTCATTCATTCAGTTTAGCAGGGGCAACTTGTGGCCATAAATTTGTGCACAGCGCAAAAGTGGAAAATACACCGAAAAATTGCAGAGGCAAGTCGGACGACCTACCCGTTTCCCCAACTTTTTTTTGGGAGGGGGATGGAAGAAGAGTCCTCCTTTGGGGCCTGTTCTGGCAGTGAGTGTGTGTGATATCTAGCGCACTTTCAGCGCGACGATAAATTTCCAAGGCAAAATGTGTAAATTATAAATACGAGCAATTATTTTAACTCTACTTAACAAATTACCATGCCATAGCATATGGGGCAAAAGGTATAAATTACCGACTTTTGCGACTTGCGGAAATTGTATGGCGGCAAAGGCGACTGGCGTTGCAAGCAACCTACACTCGCACACACACACTCCTGCAGGTGCGTGTATGTGTCCTGGCGGGTCCTGCTTAATTGTGTGTGTAGGTGATTATGCTTAATTGTGTGTGTGTGTGTGTCAGCCGAGGCAAAGGCGTCGACGGCGGCATGTTCAAGGATCTTTCTCTCACTTCCGGTCTGCGCCATCGCCTTCCCCTCGGTCCTACTTTCACCTTTCTCTCCCCCCACCAGCTCGGTTGCGGTGTAAAACTTTTCGAATCAACTTTTAAGTAGCGCAAATGACGTTGTGGCCATGTTAGGTTGAGAAAAAGGGGGGGAGCGCTTCAAGTCTGCGGTGGAATTTGCGGGGGATCAGTGGTGCGGGGCTGGCATAAGGGGTGCGGGCTAGTAACCTCACTTGATGACTTGATAACTTGTGTTTTTGTGGCAAGTGGCAAGTGAGACGTGGCCAGGATGTAGCAGGGTTCCGCCAAATCGCATTATGGCATGGGAAATTTTCAATTTCTAGTCAACAAAATAATATAGTTAATAGTAGAGCTTATAATAAAGAACTAGCTAACGACTAAAAAGCTATAACCTTAGTGGAAACTATTTAATAATTTATGTTAATTTATAAGCATGTAATTCTTGTTTATTCATAATTTATTTTCAAATCAATTTACTTGCATTCTGGTGGCATAATTATTTACTCACTCGAGTTGCAAGTGCCTGTG